AAAAGGAAAAAATATATTTAGACATTTATAAATTTAAAAAAATCTAAATTTTTATGAGGCTCTAACTCAGTTTATGGAATTTTTTTTTTCAGCTCTTGATTGACTCTCCTTTGCCTTTTTTGTCACCATCTTCTATAAACAACCCAAACAACCACAACCACAAAGAGCAGGTTAGACAGAAAATCTAAATCCAATCTTGTTTGGAGAAATATTCTTCCCTAACATCGAGAGTTGACATTTTTATGTGCTATTTTCACAGGCTTTGACAAGTATTTGGTACTTCACAGAACCAGGAAGGCTGGGATGAGTTGCAATCCCTTAGCATTTGCACAAGCCAGCTTGGAGGGGTGTTAAAACAAGAGAGTTTTCAGAGATACCACTGGTCATATCTTTGACCACAGATCTCAGGGGTGGTTAAAGCACCGTGTCCTTCCAGACACATCACTGAGAGCTTTGGGTCACTCTGAATAGATAATTCAGGGTTTCAGCACAGTTTGTCTGCCTGGTCTTGCCCAGATAAAACACTGCAGGTGGGGCCTCACCTGAGGGGGCAGAGGGGCAGAATCCCCCCTTTCCCTGCTGCCCAGGCTGTGGGATCAGCCCAGGATACAATTGGATTTCTTAGCTAGAGGTGCACGTGGTCAGCACGTGTCCAGCCTCTCATCCACCAGCACCCCCAAGATAAAGTCTTCTTTCCAGCCTTCCTGGAGTTTGGGATCTCAAAGGCAGCTCTGACTTTTCTAATTAAAGCAGCCAAACTCCCTCAGGTTGATTTAATCTTTCTCTATTATCTCTATTTTTGATGGCAGCAGAGCAGAACTGTTCCAGGAAAGATTTGGCCAGCAAAAGGGAGAAGATCCTGGTGGGAGACTGTAGGAGGAAGAGATCCTCTTCCTAAGGAGAGCAGAGAAAAGCAGGCCTTCTTCTTCTTAGGGTTATTCCCAGGAGCAAGTGATGCACAGAAAGCTCCTGGTGTTATTCAACAAGAAATTCCCTGCTTCCCCCCTGTGGGAATCCAGGGCATCCCTCTGGCTGCCCTGGAAGGCTTGGGACTTTGGCAGGGGTCAGGAACCCCCCTGGACAGAGCCCCCAGCGACACTGGCTGTGATCTCTGCCCATGGAAAAGAGTTTTCAATCTCACAGGATCAATTACCAGCTCTGAGTGTTTGATATGAGTAATAATTAAGTGTGGCACGGGTGCTAAAGTCAAATTTTAGGATTCTAGATTAGGGCCCCAAAGGGGACAAGATGGAGGAAATTGGGTGTGCCTTGTCCTTTTTCTCCTTCTTCATGCCCTCCATGTTTCACTGCAGTGTTAGCATTTTTTTTATTAGTTTAGGTTGGGGACACACTGTTCAACATAAATAATAGATATTAACACATTCTTATAAATATAGGACACATAGTTTCTGGTATTTAATGTTTGTAACATCCCACTGAGGGGCAGAGCCCCACACGCTGCCCTGCAAGACAAACCTGTGGCAAAGCAGCAAAACATATTATAAATAAGCAAAAATAAACAACCTTAAAAACCAACACAAACAAATTATAACTCCTTCTTTAACGACAAAACAAAAAGACAGAGACTTTTTACAATCTCGGAATCATCAATACCACAGATTCCAACACCCCCCTTATTTTATGGTGACTAATCCTTCTTGTGCAGAGAGGGGTGGTTTGCATGCAGCTTTAATGCAGGATGTGGGGTCATCTCTGTTCTGGAAGCAGCACATCATGACTTCTCACTCCTCACTGCACTTGCTAATGACAATTGGTTCCTATTTCAGAGATGTCAAAGCAGAGAATTTGACCCAAGATCATAAATGGAATTGAAATTTCACTCATGGTCCAGATTATAAAATATTCTTATTAGAAAAGAAAGGGATGTAGATAAGTGAAGGCAATGCATGGCAGAATGCCTGGCTGTTTTATAGAATGAAATCAGGCAACTTCATCATTGTCTCTTTGACTTCTAAAAGCTTGTGCTTAATTTCACAGGAGTGTGATAATAACAATTATTTGAGGTAGGTGCTAAATTGAGATTAACTGAGATTTATTTGCTTTGGTTTCTGTTCAGTAACCTCAAAATTTGTCCCTTGGCTGACAATGGGACACATTTACAATTTTGAGAGAAAAAAAGAAGAGAAATACTGTTATAAAGTCTTTCAGGAGCCAAGTGTTTTGGGGTTCATATAATTCAGTCCAAAGACAAAGGGGTTCCCTGGAGAGTAAATTAAAAGAAATTTTTTGGAGAGAAATGTGGGCTGAACTGATCTCTGGAGGTGTCTCTTTATTTCACCATTTTCAGGCAGAACTTACAGAGACCCAATGCTGGAACCCTGGATACTGAGAATTTTAGACTTTCTGTGTTGAAAAGCACAGATCCTCAAGAAAACACTGCATTGGACCTGAAGCCGTAGAGAAAGCTTCCAAAATTATTTATTATTATTATTATTATTATTATTATTATCATCATCATTATTATTATTATCATTATCATTATTATCATTATTATTATTATTACTATTTTTAATAATAATAATCTTTAACACAAATATTATGAGTGTATATTTTAAATAGAAGTCTGTAACATCACATAGTGGAAAACTTAGAGTTTAAAGTTTTAGAATATAGTAATATATATAAGGCAAGATAGAAGTTTTAAAGCAGTAGCCAATCCTTCTTCTTCACCTTCTTCATGAGTTTAAGTTGTATTTTATAATTAGATAGAAAAGTCCACATTGCAGAACAAAAGTAGTTATTAAGTTAAAAATAAAAATAATTTAAGTATAATTTCTTAATTAGATAGTTTTTCCTTAAAAGACTTTATAGAGATAAATACAAAACCATTTTGTAACTTATGAGTGAAATACTGTGCAGCTCACAACTTATAAGACCACAATATTAATAAGAATGAATAAACATCTGAATCCAAACACAAAATACCGTCTCTACACATTTAATCCTTAACCGTGAGCAAAGCAAATTAAAAAAAAACAAAACAAAAGAAAACAAAACAAAAGAAAACAACCACAACAACTCTGGGGTGGCCCCTCTGAGCAGGTGGGAGCACAGCAGGGAGAAGAGCATCACATCTGACAGAGGAGCAGGATAAGAACCCCACTCCCCATTTAATGCACCTTTTAAAGGTGAGCTTGGAGAAGGGCTCATCATCACTGCATGGACCCCAGAGCAGCAATTGGTGCCTACATCATCTGCTGCTTTAGGGACTGCCAGAATTCACTGCTAAAACCTTACACACTGCCCTTATTTATTTTTCCTATTTTTTTCTTGCTGTTTCTGACCCGAGACCAAAGGTTTGTGAAGTTTTTTTACTCCTGGAAGCTTATCAGTCTTTCCTGAACCTCATGTCCTGTACAGCCTGCTGGGATTTTTCTACTCCCTTTACTTCTTGCTCCCCAAACTCACTGCCAATCCAACAAGAACAGAACAAAAATCTATTCTTCTTCACAGGCTGCAACTGCATGTTCACCCCCCTCAGCCACCTTTCACACAAATTGGACTTTAACAGCAAGAAAAAACAGTGGAAAGCAAGGGAAAATAATTAAGAAAGAATTTAAAGAACACAATAGAGGTTCTCCTGGTAACACGGCGCTCTGGCAATGCGACAACCCCTTTAAATACTGGGAACACATATTAATTAATTATTGAGATGCCTATGTCCAACCTTCACTAACACTGAGGTATGTCTTAAAAAACAACAACTAAAAAGTATGAGTAGAAGTTGAATATAAACACATTAACCTATTATATAAAAATAGAAACACTGCAATGTATGATTGCAGTGAACTATAACTTTTTTTCTTCCATAAGCTTTTTCTTATTGACTATGGAACTGCTACAGGTGATTAATTTAGATTAAATGCTGAACTTTGAGTTAGGTGAGGTGAGTCTTGCTTCTAACATTTGTTATCCTCTTTAGACTTTACCCTTCATGTCTCAGCATGCGGCAAACCAGTAACAAACTCCTTCCTGTGGAATGACAATACTCTGTAAATATACCTAGGTCAGAGATTGATAATTTATACACAAACAATATCCCAGAGAACTTTCAGATTTTCTATCAAAATCTAGTAAAATTTCATGAAAATCTGTGTTCTCTACAGTGAAGGGAGGACATATCTAACAAATATCTAGATATGGGAGCAAATATATAACAGCTAGGTATTAGCTGGTTAGATCTGCAAAGCAACAAAAGATAATTTTTATCCCTTTAGAACTTTAGATGCTTATGCTGCCATGGTAAAGACTGGAATCGCCATATCTACTTAAGCATAAAGACAAATGTGGAAGGTTTGTTTCAAAGTGTACTGTGGAAAATAAAACACCTGAAGTTATCACACAGACAATGGTCTGATCTTCTCCGGTCCTGACATCCTGGAAATTTTGGATGTCCCACCCCTGGAAGTGCTCAAGGTTTGGAGCAGCCTGGTCTAGTGGAAGGTGTCCCTGCCCATGGCAGGGGTGGAATGGGTTGATCCTGAAGTTCCCCTCCATCCCAAGCCATTCCATAATTCTGTGAGTCTGTGACATCATTTCCTTGACCAAACATTTGAACTCCAAGGACCCTCAAGAGGATCCTTCCCTCTCGAGGAATCAGAGAGGGAATGGGAAGGATTGGGCATGGGAAGATCACACAATTTGGATATTGATCCCTGTTAAATCTGCATGTCCACCCATCCAGGTTTACAGACCTCTTCCCCTGGAGTGCTGTTGGAATCATAGCCACAAGCCACAGCGTAGGGTGCAGGGTACACATCTGACCAGCCCTGGCTTGTACAGTTCCTGGTCACATTCCCTGGAAGAAAAGGGAAAAAAAAAAAAACATGATTTAAAAAGCAACCTTCAGCTCACTGCTAAAACAACTTCTGCCTTTTGTGGTATAAATGCCAAAGAACATTTCTTGTAACACTTAGAGAAAAACTCTCATACTTTTTTCTTGCTATTAATTTTTCATATTACACAGAGTTTTTAAATAGGAAGCATCTCTTGTGTTTTAAAGTCCAGACCTCACTAAAAAAGTACATTTTAATACAGAGGGGCACACAAACATCTCTTCCAGTGGTACCATGCTGCAAGTTGTGCCCAGACCTTTGGTTCCTGGCACTGCACCAGTATTGTTTGAATGTTTTATTGTCACATTGACTTTGTTCCTGGAAATTTTTTATCTGAACAGAGCAGTGAAGTATTTATGCCTTTCACCGTGCCTGTGAGAAGCCAGGACAGGGATAGATAAAGTGCTCATTTCACAGCATGCAGATAAGGCTGGGGGTCTGGGAACTAAATCCAGACCTCCACACTTAGACCTTGCCTACAACTGAGCCCTGATCACATGTGATTCCTGGGAAATGTACTGCACTCTGGTTTGTGAACAAAACACTTCAAAACTTGGCTGTGAAAGGAGAAAATCCACACACACTGACAGCCTGTATTGCCTGTTTCAACTTGAATACTCCAGGGCAGGAAGACTTCCTGGACTGTCAAGCTCACTGAGTGCCTGGGGCCTCTGACCAGCTAAAGAGAGCTTTAATTAACACAAGAACATCTCATTCCTTCAGCCAAACTGTCAAACCTGAACTTCACGTGGCTCTTTGGTACTCAGAACTGCCTGATCCATCCAGGATTGTGAGAGCAAAGCACTTCTCACTTTGTAAAACATCTCTGCTTCTTGTCCCAGCCGACCCTCAAACCCCCATCAGTTTAATCCAGCCAAAGGAGAGAGCAGCACTCAGGACAAGCCTTACCCCAAGAAGTTTGTAGGCTAAAAGGCCAAGATATGTGTTTGTCAAAAAATAACAAAGCAGCAGTGCACCCAACAGCACACTGCAAATTCCCCCAGCACCTTCCCTGCCCACCAGTCCCCACCCTGCACACCTCATTAAGATCCCATTATTGGGGCATTGCACTGGTGCCATTCACCACACAAAACTGGAAAACTGGTCAATACACCACAAAGAGCAAACAGAAGTCAAACCTTGTTTCTTAAGGTGAAAAACCACACCAGTGAAGCTCAAAGAGCTTTGCAAACATTTCCAACAATGGAGCTCTTTGCACGCAAGAGTAAGAAAACTCCTGCAAATGGGACCAAATCAATTATGGAGCTGTGAGTCACAAATATATTTGTGTCCAGCAATTTCTGACACTTGAGTCATCTGAGCATCTTCCCAGCCATGTTCTGCACTGAAATCAGCAGCAGGCAGTCCCCTGCCTGAAGGCGCTTTCCAATCCCTGTGACAGATGGATTTTGACATTAAACTTGCCCCTTTAATCTGTTTTTGCAACAGATCTGAGTCTGGGAGGGCTCTCGAAGGTGCCTTTGTTCATTTTCACAGCTGCTCCAGAAGAAGCAGGTTCAGCCCAGCTCCGTGGGCTGCTGTTCCAGGCTTTCCCTGCACCGTTTGTAGCTCTTCCCACCAGAGTTCATATCAGGATCATAAAGGATCTTGTGCAAACAAATCAATGACTGTTCAGTGCTTTCAGCTTTTTTGAGGTTATGCAATTTCTGTTATTTCTTCTTTGTTACAATGGATCCCATTATCTGAACTTCACTGCTTCCCATTTCCTGCTCAAAGCTCTGTTTGAGGATGGCTTAAGATTTCATGGTGGTTTTAAATCTTTGTTTCTTATTCTTAGTGAGCTAAGGTGTGCTTCTTTCAGCTTATTTTCCTCCAATTTCTTCTTTTCAATTGCACTTCCTCAGAATTTTATGATTATTTAAGAGCTCTCACCTCTCTCAATACTTTCAAAAATTGTCCCAATGTTTTAGCAGATATGGAAACTAAGGTAGAAAGAAGAACAATGGCAAAGCATCAGTGGGATTAAAAAAAACAAAAAATTACTCTGACTTTAGGGAAACTCACTTTCCGGAGAAGTTTTTCTGCCACCCTTTGCTGCTCATGTAATTTTAAATGTGGAAATTCACACATGTGGTGTGATACAAGACACCTTCTGAAAACCTCTCATGTTCACCTGATGTCTGAGAGATACAAAAAGTAGAAGGTTAGAAAACAAAGATTTTATCACACCACAGTTTGCCTCAAGTAATGGATGATGTCTCTCCTCAGACCAAATAACATTTCTGATTACTATTATTTCAAATATCACTTTCTATACTGAAAATGAGCATAACATTTGGGAAATTGCCCCGCAAGCTTAGCTTTCCTCTGAGGTTTACAGGCTCAGGTTAGACTGAAGTATCACACAGATTTTTATGTTCCAATATCAAATCCCAGCACTGCCACAGATCCCTGATGAAAATGAGATATTTTTGTGGTCTCGCTGGCTCTTGGTTTTTCCAGACTTTGGTCATGAAGTCTAATTTTATTTGTCAATGGAAAGGCAAATTTTTCAAAGCACCAGAAGTTGTATTTGCCATTTTCCAGAGCTGTTTCTCAGTAATTTGTGTAACACAAGTTCTCCCTAAAATGAGCACCAATGCAGTACATTGAAAATCTGGAGTACACTGAAAATCTGGAGTACATTGAAAATTTGTAGTACATTGAAAATGACAGTATCAGAAACCACAAATTTTCTGCACTTAGAATTTCTCTCCAGTCTTTCCAAGTTCACTAGATTTCCCAAATGTTCCCATTTCCTATCAGACTGCAGCTAACATTTTCAAACTGTACTCCTGGAGATTTAATGAGAAAGGAGACCAGGGGTTTATAACTACATGTAATTAGCAATGCAGAGTGGAGGAAATTCACTCCTGAATCACTGAGAGATGGACAGTATCTCCAGGCTCTCCTCTGTGTTGTGGAAAAAGAAGAGAACAGAGTCCCCTCGTTCTTGTGGTGTAAGTTAAAGCCATTAATTAATCTGGGCTTTTCTGTGGGGTTTGTATTTAATTTATCAAAGTTACCACTGTCAAACTGGTGTATCTGTTCCTAAAAGCAATGAGGTGAGGTTTTCCATTAAAAAAAAAATTTGAAAAGGCCCCCCCCCCTTTTCTTTTTTTTTATTATTACCTCATCATGCCTTGCAAGAGCTCAGTGCTCTTTGCTTTCGTGGCATCCCAGAATGGCAGAGGTTGGAAGGGACCTCTGGAGATCATCTGGCCCCAAACCCCTGCTCAGGTGTGGTCACCCAAAGTGGAAGCATGACCAGATGCCTTTTGGATATTCTCGGAATCCTTCAAGGATGGAGGCTGCACAAGCAAATCTTGTCTCAGAATTTAGAATCATGAAATCTTCATGGAATTATTTGGGTTAGAAGAGACCCTAAAGCTCAATTCCAACCTCCCTGACATGGTCAGGGAATCTCCTTGTTGTCACTGAGAGGAATTTCCTTCCATGATTTATTCATGACACAGCAGAAGAGGAGGGAGGAGTTTGTGGAACAGAGATAAAACCAGAACATTTTCTTTATCAGAGGTGTTTGATCTGGGTGGGAGTTAAACTAAATAAATGCACAGAGCTGTTATCTTGCTGTTTAGTTTTTTCCTCTTAATTTCTTTCTGCCTCTCATCTGTTTCAAACTCTGAGACATGTCTGAAAGTTCATATTACAGGTGAAGTTTTACTTCTTTGATCATCTTGGAAAAAAACCTCTTATTGGGTTTTAATGGAAGTTTGAATTCAGACAAAGAGATCTGAGGTCAGTCATGGCTCAGGGGTGTTGGGTTTTGCCCCCCTCTTGCTTTCTTTGCCCTTTTCTGTAATAACTTCTGAAGCAGAGGGGAAGGTGTGCTCTGCCCAGCAATCAGTCCTGCTTCCCTAGCATCATAGTCCATGGACATAAATTGATTTTTTTCAAGCAGAAACCATTAAAGCAGTAACACTTCTGTTATTTACCATTCCTGAGACACTGCTGAGCCCACTGGCACATCTCTACTTTCATTTTTATTATTGATCTGCCTCACTGTTCCTGGGAAGCACTTGAAGCTTGCACTTAGCTGGATGCTGAAGTGCTTGGGCCTGGGAAAAACTTGTGGGGAAAGTTGTGGCAGGATAATTCCCCAATTTGCTTCCTCCGCCTCAGTCTTGGTCTCACAATATCATTCCTTCAGTGCAATTTCTGCCCAGGGTTTGATTTTATTTCATATTTTTGTATTTCATAGCTTCATGTCATAGTAGAACCTGTGGCACTGGGTCAGCACAGCAACAAGACCAACTTCATTTTCTTCCTTGGTTGTTTTTCACATCACTTGGCCTGCAGATATTACTGCCACATGTCCAGTGCCCTGAAACTTCCTGCACCCTGTTTTTGTGGCAAAACCCAATTTTCCCTTATTTCCTTTCCCCTTCTTGCCCATTTCACTTCTAAGAGTGAAGATCTTGATTCTTGATACAGATAATTCCCCTTTCTTAACAATAACAATATCAATGTTCCCCTAGATTAGGCATCTTTTGTAAACTGTTTTTTTTCTCATCCTAAAAACAAAGCTGTCAAATTTTAGGACAAAATTCTCTTTAGATATTTTGATCCTGCAATTATAGGATTCCAAGAAACATTTAGGAAAAAAAAAAAAAGCAGATTATTGGGTAGAGGTGTAGCACTAATCCTTCAGAGGATGGCACAAGCATTATGACAGCTCAGGTGCAAATAAATCATGGAATCATAGAATGGTTTAGGTTGGAAAAGCTCTCTAAGATCATCAAGTCCAATCATTAACCCCACACAGCCAAGGCCACCATCAAACCACATCCCCAAGTGCCACATCCAGAAGGTTTTGAACTGCCAGGGATGGTGATGCCCTCTCTGAGCCTCCTTTTCTCCAGGTAATTTTGCCTTTCTGATATGAAGGACAGCAAGACACCTGAGCAGGTTGAAGTTCTCAGTGATCTCCACAAAACCCACA